CGCAGCCAACAGATACCGAGGGAGGAAAAGCAGTGCTGCCTTCCTTGTGTTACTGGGACGCGGAGGGGAACGGTTGGGAGCTGGGATGCCCACGGAGCTGGTGGCAGAGATGCCTGGCAGTTCTCCGAATAGAAGCTCAAAGCAATCCTCCTGCTTGGTGGCTGTTGTAGCATTCATGGTCGCATGGCGTGCTCTGATTTCAGAAGAAGTGGAGGCACCTGGAAGACCCCTTCCTTCTCCCCGCTGCCCCTAAGGGGACACGGAGCGCCGAATAGCAAGGAACTTGCCCGATATTGCCCTCCTCTCTATCTCGAGCCATAGGGAGAATAAATCCATCTCCTCGTACTCGATGGCAAGCTGGAAGGTGAAGCTCTGCAGCAGGGTGGCGAGGAAAAGGAAGAGCTCGATGCGGGCCAGCGCCTCTCCTGGGCACATCCGCTTCCCTGGGGGCACAGAACGGGGAGGGTGAGCACCGGCGTGATGGCTTCATCCAGCACTTGGGGGAAAAAGGGCATGAAAGGATAGCGAGAAAGCTCATATTAAGGGTATAACTCTGGTGCCAACCGATATTCGTGCTGGCGGGCCCTGGAGCGGAGCCGCTGCAGGCAGGGTGCCGGGCAGGGCTGAGCACTGACCTGCCGAGAAAGCCATAAAGGCTTCGCGCTTCCTGAACTCGCCCTTCTCATCCAAGAAGTGGCCTGGGTCGACTTCTTCGGGATTCTTCCACTGGGTTGGATCCATATGCACGGAAGAAAATACCGGAATAACGGCTGTGTCCTGTGGGAGAGGGATGGGGCAGGGGAGCAAGGAGGGACATCAGTCCCGCAGCGTAGGGCTCTGCGGAGGTGGATTAGCAAGGGAGGAGCATCTGGGGGGCACGGGCAGAGGCTGGGGGCACATCCTGATGCCCACCCAGATGCCCGCGGGGAGGGTGCCCAGGGCGATAGCTCTGTGCCTGGCAGGGGCAACTAACATGGGGCTCCACAGCCCCCGTGGTCCTGCCGGTCTCTGTGCAGCTCGTGAGACAGAAATTATTGAGTTATTCTCATTGATTTATGTTAAAAGCCCTCTCGCTGCACAAAGTCCGTGGCTGTCCCCAGACCTGCCAAGGAGGTGGGGGCTGGCGTGGCCCCGTGCCGGGGCGAGCTCAGGCTCCCAGCCCCAGCAATCCTGCTCATCTCCCTGGTGGAAAGAGGTGTTTTCCAGGACAGGCAAGGGACACGGGTGTGTGGGCAGAACCTGCAGCGGCATTCACCTCCCTCTGCCCCTCCACTAAAAGGTTATCGCCATCTCCCCCCACCGAGGACCTTCAGGAGTGAGCAAACAGTCCAGGGGCAAAGGCAAATCTCATTCAAGTCCCGCTGCCACCCCTCCCCTTGGGGACACAGAGACCCTGGCGCCATGACATCTACCTTGGGGATGGTGTGGCCCCTGAACACGACGTCCTGCGTCGTCATCCGTGGGAAGTTCTCAATGTGGGTCTTGTGGAAACGTTGCAGCTCGTGGATCACCGCGTTGGTGTATGGCATCCTCAGCTTGTCCTCCACGCTGGGAGCACGGCTGGCGCCCACTGCCGCATCGATCTCCTCTTGGACCTTGGCTGGGGACAAGGCAGGCGTGAAGCTGTGGTGCTTGTTGTTGCAAAACCCTCCATGATTTCTTACTGGCCTCCATGGGCACCTATCCTAGAGCCAAAGGATGATCTAGCAGGGAGGGAGCAACCCGGCATAACCCCTTGTAGAGACCAGAAATAAGGTCTCTGTCCGCATACCTCCCCGGGTCAGGCAGGTTCAAAGCATCTCTCAGAGGCCAGTCTGGGGCCATCTGCACAGGCAGGGATGGAGAAAAGGGAGCAGGTACCCGGATCCCTCCGGCCTATGTGAACCTGTGTCTAACGGCTCTCACCCTAAAGGCATGGGTGACCCATGCAGGGTGGTTTTGGTCTCCCCTCCCAAACAGGCCCCTCCAGGGCTGGGACTCTCTGCCTGCGCCTTTGCTGCACCGTGACCTCCTCAGGCACAGGGAGCAGTCACATTTTGCTGTCCCTACCTTGAATATGGGGGTATTTTGCCAGGACCAAGAGGAAGAAGACCAGGGTGTTGCTAGTAGTCACTGTCCCAGCACCAAAGAGGTTGAACACTGACATGACCAAGTCTTCGTTGCTGTACATGACCTCCAGGCTGCTCTTCTCCTGCAAGAATGCAGTGGGGAAGGGATTCAGCACTGTCTGGGTGATACTCCAGGCTGCAGCCAGGTCTGGAGGGCAGCCCTCACCCCCCTTTGCACGACCTCTACCTTCTCTGCTTTCATAAGGAAACAGTCGATGTAGTCCCGGGGGCAGCTGGGATCCAGTGTCAGCTTGTGAAGCTCAACCCTTTCTCGGATGTGGTCCTTCAGCTTCTCGCACTCGGCCAGGACTTTTCTGTGTGGCCCCGGGAGGTGGTGCATGATGTTGGGGAAGGTGTTGTAGACCTGCGGGTGGAGGAGGTACAGGAGGGCTCAAGTGCCTGGACGGAGCCTCCCGCACCTTCCCTCAAAGCCATGCTTCCCATCAAATCCAAGGAGCGACCCAAAGCCAAGGAATGTCCGTCGACTGCCCAAGCACGTCAGACATGAAAGTGCTGAGCACAGCAAGGATGCCTACCATGGCGATGGGGGAAAGAAAGAAGCTGATGTAATTCCCGATCACATTCAGTAGCTCCAGAAAGGCCATGTCGCTGTAGCTGTAACGGCTCCCGAAGACAACGGAGCAGATCACGTTGGCAACTGCGTGTCTGAACATTATCATCGGCTCAAAGGCCTTTCCTGCAGCCACAGAAGAGGCAAGAAAGGCATCAAAAAGTCAACAGTTATTTATCTGCTTCAACACAGAAAGCACCCCTCCTCCCGCTTCGAGCCCCTGTCCTTTGAACTCTGAGCCCTGGTTGAACCTGCCGCGTCTAACAGCCAAAGCAAAGAGCCCTCCCGAGCTGTGGGCTCCTACATCTACCTCCCTGCTCCTAAACCCCTGCCCAGCGCTTGGGCCTGACGAAAGCAGAGGCGTCTCCAGGCACTTTGGGCTTCTGCTATCGTGCCCCGGGGAATCTGGGGGGCTGCAGAGCATCTCCCTGCGGGAAGCAACCCCTCGACCAGCACCACACATCAGAGGCAGAGGAGTCAGTGTACAACTGACCTTACATCTCCTCTTATATTCAGGAAACCCCAGAAGAGGTGGTGGCACTGGCAGCAGCTCAGTTTTGTTAGAGAGGAGGACATCACCCTGATAACCCCCGTGTCACGAGGGCAGGATCGTATTTGTGCATTCTCAATGCCATGCAGTTTCATTTCCTATTTCTGTTCTTTTGGCATGAAAACTTCTTCAGTGATTGCCACCTCCTGCACCAGTCCAGAGCAGCATCTCCCACCCGGGCCTTTAAGCCGAGGCTGTGTCACATCCCTGCAGCTCTCTCTGGATGGGATGGGTCTAGGTCTAAGCCCTCTCTGCAAGGACCATCCACATCAGGCATTGCAAACAGCTCCAGGGACCACATACGTCCCATGAGGCTGTTATGTGTCCTCTGCCCACCGCAGGGGCCAGGGTGGACAGGACCCATGTCACCTTCAAGTTTTGCCAGCAGTTCCACCAGGTGCTGGGCTTCCTGCTGCACCCGCTGCGACATGGAGCTCTTCCCCATCCCAAAGTCCCGCAGGGTGCTGAGTGTGAACCTCCGCAGCTCCCGCCACTTCTTCTCGTTGTTGGAGATAAAACCTGGGAGGAGGCAGTGGGGACCACTCATCTGCCTGCCCCACGGCACCTCCCCGGGAATGAGAGACCCTGCTCGGAGCCTGGTTGAGGAGCAATGAGGCAATAAGCCAGGGAATGACCCTGCTGCGTGCACAACATCCTTGAAAGGCTGAGGATCTCTACAGAAACTCAGAACAAAGCTGGAACCGGCTAACTGAAACTAATACTGTCCTTGGACAAGAGGTTTAATAGTTGGAGGGACTTACCGAGTGCGAAATGGGTGTTTGAGGTCTTGGGTGTTGAGTCCTTCACTAGACTCGAGCATGGCTAGCTGCAGTTGGGGGCTTTCAGCTCACCCAGAGAGAAATAGTGTCTAGAAGAAATCCAGACACCTACCATAGTCTTTCGAGATCTGCGCCAGAAGGGGTATTGCAGGTCTCCCTCCAAACTCCTCAGAGTGGCCCAGCAGAGCATCCTTCACCACCTCGTACCCGCAGAGCACCACCACCGGCTTCAGCCCCAGCCAGACGGTGAAGATGGGGCCGTACGTGCTGCTGAGCTGGGGGAGGAGAGGAAAGCTGTGGTGAACGAGGGTCCTGCACCCCAGCTGTTCGTTTAATTTTAAATGAGGTCTGGTGGCCGCAATGCTGGAGAATGTCCGGGCAGGGAGGGGAAGCGCCTCCCTCGAAGCCGGCGTCCTCGCCCCGCTCCCAGCCCAGCCCTGTCCCTGGGGGTTCCTGATCCCAGTGAAGCTTTGGGGGTTTGGAACATCGTCTCCGGGAAGCAGCTCTGGATGGCGGCAGTGCTGCAGCCCGGAGAGGGGTTAGTGTCACCCCCGCGGGTCCCTTACAGGAGGAGAAAGACTTCAGTAACAGCATTGGGTGTGCTCCCAGCAGCAGGGATTCAGGCAATTCTGGCAGATCAAGAGAAGAGGCAAGGAAAAGAGAAAAGAAAGGTGGGAAAAGAGTCACCTGCATAATTCCCCTTTTATTTTGACATGGGACATTCACGCTTTCTCTCCTGCCGGGGCTGGGAGTGGGTTGGCACCCCCAGTTCCTCTCTTACCTTCTTGTAGCTCCTGTAGAGGGGCAGGACGTCCTTTTGCCATAGGTTGCCCAAAATGGGCCATGGGGCCGGTCCAGGAGGCAGCCGGCTTCTTTTCTTATCGCTTTTCCAGACCAGGAACCACAGGATGGAGAGGAGGAGGAGGGTAACGAGCACTCCGGCCGATCCAGCATCCATCCTCGCCCGTGCTGCCAAGCAGGGAAAAAATACCACGAAATTCCCCCTCCAGGGAGAGAATCACAACTGAGCAGTGAGCAGAGAGGAGCCAAAACCTGCTGCCTCTGCCCTTCCTTGCGCTCTATATAGGCACGGCCCTTCCCACATCGCCGGGGTCATCTCCTGCGTGTCCCCCCGCAGCTCCCCGGCTGGGCGGTGACACGGAAACGCCGGTTTCTGCCAGCCAAGCACATACCTGGCCCCACTGTGTTGTAACACAGGTCTGAGAGCTGACATCGAGCTGACATGCATTGCAAAACCCCGCCGGCGTGCTGGGGGAGAGGGCGGCTCTCCCCTCCCCGCGCTGCGGAGTCACGTTTTGCTTGGTGCTCCCTTTCGGCGGCATGCGACGGAACAAGTTGTCACCATCCTGGCAAAACCTCGCGTGTCATCTCCAGGTCACTGCTCGTTTTGTCACCTCCTTTGCTTACCAGCGCAGTGAGCCAGGAGGGGACATCCTCGTAAACGGGAACCGAGGGAGCCTGGGAGCGGGGCACGCACGGCTGGTCAGGTACCCGTTGGGTGACAAGTCCCCATCAGACTCCTTTCTGATGGGAAATGGATCAGAAAATAGGAAAACCCTATTTTTTTATGAAATATTTTGGGGTTCCACTAGCGTTTTGGGAGAACGTCGACCCGAGGCGTCACAGTTGTTGCAGGCATGGGGTTAACTCTTCCCCGGGCTCCTCCGGCCTCTTTGGGGCTCCTCCAATGTTTTTGAGCGTCTCGCTCTGAGCACCGGCACATCTGGCTGCACGCGAGCACATCTGGCAGTGGCTCAGCCACCACACCTCTGGTCAAGGGTGCTCGCAGCCCTTGTCCGAGCAAGCTGGTCGCAAGCCAGTTCCCAGCAAAGGATGCGGTTTCTCCTGGAGGAGAGGGCTGGAGGAAAAGAGGGAGGAGGTGTGATTTCGTGGAATGAGACCCTCAGCAGAGGGCATTAAATGATATTGGCCGAGAACCTGAATTATAATGCTCACCCAGAGCAGAGCATCTGCGGCGTGCAGCTGCAGGACGAACGGCCGGGAGCCGGGACTGCGTTTGGGCAGGGCTGATACACACAGCCCGCACCTCCGCACTTGCACCCTGTTTTGGCCGCGTAGCGGGACGATTCGTGGGTGCCGGACCAGGGATGCTCGGCGCCGCCGGCCGGGCTGGTCCCAGCCGGGCTCTACGGCCGCCGTGCGATTCCTTACACATACACACCAAACCTCTCTCAAATCACCAAAAGGTGACTGGCAATGAACCTCCCGCAGCCCTGGGACTGCTCTGTTTCAATATTTGGATTTTTCCCTCGCTGCCCCATGCTGCTGGGGGCCAGAGCGGACTCCTGACTCCACCAGCACTGCAAACACGCTCAGCACAAGGGGTGTTGGGGGGAGAGGGTTGCGGTGGCTGGATGGGCAGCCCCACGGCGGTGCCAGGAGCCCCGCAGTTGAGGCCCACGGGGGCTGAAGCCGAGAGGTTACCGTGAGTCACTTGTTTACTCCAGCCCACCCCGTCGCGTCCCTGCTCTTCCCACGGATTGCTCTAAATTCTTGGCTTGGGTGCCTGCAAGTGGGGAACTTTGCCTGGGGGGGTGATGTAGTGCCTGGGGTTTTGGCAGGGGGGTGAACAGCCTCCCGGTGACTGACACGGTTTTTTCCATGGCAGCCAAACAATACAAAGGAATCACTCAAACAACAGGAAAAGAAACAGCCGTGGGGATTAATATGAGCTGCAAAGTTTAAATCTGATGGAAAATTCCCTCTTCTGTGGACAAGCTCAGGCAGAGCCCGTGGCTGGCTGCCTGGACACCGATAGCATTCCAGTGCAACACTCATTGCTACAGCGGGTTTTTTGAAAGGTGAGTGTCTCTAATGACACCAAAAAAAAACCATTATCATACCACGTTTTATCAACAAAATAGAGAAAACAAACAACTGACCCTGGAATTTGTGAGTCCAGGTCACCATACAAGAAGTTTAACAAGAAATAACTCCCAGGGATGGTGAAACTTTGCATTTGACTTCTTGAACTCCTTGATGAGACTTTGCTTTAAGTTTCTCTTCCTAACTTATAGAATAAATTAAACTGAACGACCCAAAATGTAATGTCCATGTAGTATCTCTTGTCAAGTGTGCAGAAAAAAAGGGAAAGGTAGAAGTTGTCAACTAAACTTTTAGCAGCTGCGTGCCACTTTGCCTGAAGACAGCTCAGGTGGGCTTCGGCGCAGCCACTTCAGCACTTCGCGGGGTTGGGACCTAAAGTGAACCCAAACAGGTTCATATGGACCCAAAGCCATTGGCACTTTGTCCATCTTTCTGCTGATTTTCTTATAAAGGCTGCTGGAGGGCGGGGGTCTGTAGAGAAACAACTGCAAGGCTTTGGGATCCCTTCAGGAGCAGTTGGTGAGACATTTCTGCCCCAAAAACTAAAATAACAGGGAAGAGTCATCTAAAACTCCACATGGAAGGACCCATGTGGCGTGAACAAAAAAAGGGAGAATATTTTGACTTCTAAAAAAATTAAAAATCCATTTAGAGATTGCCAGGGCTTTTGGATTTTAATTCAAAGTCATGTTTTGGGACTAAACTCATGCAGAAATAACATGTAGAAGCAATCGGGGAGCAGAGCAGCCCACGCCTGCTCCACATCGTCTGGATGCTCCCGGAGCTCAGGGGGCACATCTGGTCCCGGCCGTGCCCGGACCTGGAGCCAGGATGGGGCCCGGCTCCTGCCTGCCACGCTGCGGCTCTGCCAGGGCTGGGGAGGAGTTGCTCCATTAGTGGTCACGTTGCTGCAGCAGACCCAGAATTTATCAGAGGGGTAGAATCAAGGAGTTAGAAGACATGATGCTCGGGGGGTATTTTTCGGCGTAGATGTGTACTTGGAAAAGCTGTGAGGCAAACGCGGCAGCGCAGAAGTGAGAGAAGATGACTCCAGTTAAATAAAGAAGTCAATAAACTGTCTGGGTTATTAGATCTAGGAAGATCTGCCGGAGGAAATCTCTCAGCTAGCGCTTCTCTGCAGTCGGTGTGGAAAAACCTTGGCAAGGAGCAGGACACGTCCCACATTGTGGGGAGGAGGATGGGGAGCAGAGCCACGGCGCGGCCGGGAAGAGGGTCTGACTGGGGCTTGCAGCCGCAGAAACACCGAGTTGCCAATGCTGGAGGCACCTCTGGAGGTTATCTCCTCCAGCCTCCTGGTCCAGCAGGGCCAGCGAGAGGAGGCTCCATCCGGGCCATGGATGGAGACTCCACAACCTCTCTGAGCAACCTCTTCCCATGTTCGACCACCCTCACAGTAAAATAGTATTTTCTTACGTTTAAGGACAATTTCCTATATTTCAATTTGTGCCCATTGCCTCTTCTCACTTGGCACCTTGGAGAAGAGTCTGGCCCTGGCTCCTTTACCCCGCTCCATCAAGCATTTACCCACATGGGTAGGATAAGGTCTCCTTGAGCCTTCTCCTCCCTAGGCTGAACCATCCCAGCTCTCTCAGCCTCTCCTCATCGGAGAGATACTCCAGGCCCTGAGCCTTTCCTGAACTCGCTCCAGCATGTCCGCGTCTCTCTTGCACTGGGGAGCCCCGTGTGGGACACGACACCCAGGCGTGTCTCGCCCGTGCTGGGCGGAGCGGCGCGGTCTGCCCGCTGGCTGCTGGCCATGCTCCGCCTGCTGCAGCTCAGGAGGC